TTCACGGGCTTCAGCAGCCACCAGCAGAGACGGGCTGAGGAGCAGAGTGTCGTCATGGTGAGTTACAGCCATAAGACAGACACACGCACACAGACTTTTCATAGAGCATAAACATGTACACTATGTAACAGGCTCAGCTGATATGCATGATGTTATATAATGTGTTCATGTGACTTCATTACAATGATTGAGGAGAGCTTTTTTTAACATTATTTTTTTTTACTTAAAGGTGCACTGCGCAAACTTTCTTGTAGAGGGTCTGCTACCATATCCATCCAACATTTATTCATTACAGGTGTTTCTATCAATTAAATATACAATAATTACCTCCGCCAAGGAGGTTATGTTTTTGCCGGCGTTTGTCTGTTTGTTTGTTTATCTGTTAGCAACATAACTCAAAAAGTTATGGAAATTTTCAGGATTTGTTGGAAATGTAAAAAGAAAGAACTGATTTCATTTTGGGGGTGATCCGGAAGAAATCCTGGATTCTGGATCACTTTGAAATTTTAGTTAACATTGTGGTAAATGGGGCCAAAAATTTTGTTTCTCAATATCTCGGTTAATTATTGACCAAACCCCATGAAATTTGACTCAGGGATGGACAATGGGATCCTCTTTCATATTCCAAAGGCTGATCCGGATCTGATCCAGAAGACTGATTTTATCGCAATTTATATAAAAAATGGGGGTAGTCCTTGGCGGAGGTCTGCGCTCTCTGAGTGCTTTTCTAGTTCTTTCTGTGAATAGGGGCGACTCTCCACAGATCTGAATTGTAATGTAGAGTAGTGCTGTAACCTGCTTGTCTCCCTCATGATTTATAGGTTTAATCTATACTGTGGAACATTCTAGACAAAGCAATAACATTTCCATGGAGACAAGCAGATGGCGGACCATCCACTAGAAATGTTATGCAGTGCACCTTTAATAAAGAAGCATTACTTTGACAATGTGTTGAACTTGAATTTGTATACTTACTTTGAAATGTTACATCCATAAATTGTACCATTATTAAATAAATAATTAATTCTAGAGCAACATGGCTGGAAGTCATTTTTGTGTTTTGTATCAACAGTGAGTTTGGCAGTTGTTGCTACAAATTACTAACAAGAAAGCACGCAACTGGGCACACACACACAGACAATTACACAAACACACACATCTGCTTCATTATTACTAATTACTAATCTGTTCTGCTAATAAAATCCTGCTCTTTTTAGATTTAGACTTACACATACTTTATTGATCCAAAAGAGTTGGACTCAGTAGCTCACACATCACAATATATTTTAATAACAAAGAGCAAAAATGTAAATGGTAATAATAAATTCAACGTTTACTTTTAATTGATCATTCACATCTGTCCTATGACCGCTACCAACTGACTTACATTAATTTAATTTCAGTTTAATTTTAGTCAGTATTTTCCCTCTTTGCGGTGCAGACTGAAAATAATTAGCAGCCTCTCTCATCCAGAGTGTATTACTGCATCCCCTCAGAGCTTGTTGAGCCGAACCATGATGAGTAAGCACATATGCACAAACTCCCACGCGCAGATAAGGCATGTAAACAGCAGACATGCCATACTAACACACATACATACAGTCTAACAGAGTAGAGATGGAGCCAGTTCCTCCTGTGGGCTCAGAGTAAGTCCAAGGTCTAAGGGATGTGCTCCATTGATCCGTCTGGGTAAACATGGCTGAAGTGTTAGAGGGATCGGAGTGAAGAGCATTTGCTTCAAAATAAGATGTGTCTGTGAGTACACAATGTGAGATTCAGTCTTTCTAATAGTCAATGATATGCTTGGGTGGTTTTAATTGTCAAGTCCACGCCCAATCCTCTGTCAGTAAAATGTGGTTTGGAATGGAGTTTAGTTTACTACTGTTTGTGTTAAATGGGAATAATTAAAACTCTCTTAATAAAATCAAATAAGAAATTAGGTTAAAAAAAAACACACAGTTCATTCAGTCATATCTCACAGATCCCTCAAACACAATTTAATTTTATTGCATTGCATAAAATATAATTAAATGCAATATTTGTATAGTTTCCCATCGCTTTGCATGGGCTACCATTTTGGCAAAATGTCCTGTATATACTAAAGAGTCATGAGCCAGATTAGTCATCAAATCTAAATTCTTAAAAAATATATTTTCTGTACTTATACTATAAAATAAATTCAATAAAATGAGCTCCTGGCATTATAGTCCTGTAATTATGGAAAAGTGCAGTATCTGCTCTATGTTCAACATAACCTTAGAGCCACTGTTAAATATATGTCGTCAGTATTCAGTCTTATTCTAAGAAATGCACATTGTAACTCAGAGTACGGACAGGTGACCACCCAGATGCACATGGGGCGTCAGTGTTTTAAATGTTTTAAAAATAATTAAATAGAAGCGTATTATATTGGCGAGTACGTAAGAAAGCTCATGTATTTTTTAAGTGATTGATGTCCAATGTATGAGTCATTTAGTTCTAACAAAAAACTCTTGGTTAATAAAATGTAAACAAATAATCTGAGGTGAAAGCTTTTCCGAGTGGGGCTTCCCCTTTCAGTTTGATGGCTGTTGTCTCAGAGCCAGTTCTTTGCACATGCTGGAGGAATGGCTGCTGTGTTTGACATGTGTATTGAAAACATTATTGTGTCCGCTCGGCTCCACAGTCAGGCCAGGACCTGAAGACCACAAGGTTCCTCTGTATTGCTAATGGGCTAGTGGTTATTTTAAAGACAGTTCGTGCGATTGACCTTTCAGCATGTCACAGACTGAAGCTGGGCGTTCAGTTTGTAGATGAAAGACATTAATGGATGAGCTGGATTTTAATGACTCAAAATTACTTACTGTTGGATTTGTGATGACATAAATTATTTAAATCCACCACATTTATAAACCAATAAATACATTTGTTAGGAATTTTCATGGCTTTAGCCAATTGCTAATGCCTGCAATAAATCAAACAGGCTGTCAATAATTGAGTATACTATTATGGAAAGTTGCTATATAATGTGCAGTGGTTCCCATAGATTCTGGCAGACTTTGGTGGCAGAAATAATTTAGATTTCAATAATTTAATTTTATACAATTTGTGGCCTATATTTAATCTTAAAACAGTCCCTTCTGCCCTGTATAGTTACTTTTCAATGTTTATAATAAGACAATGGTCAACATAGCGTGGCTTTGTGATGCCAATGTATAGTCCTGGTTGTTTTTAGACTATGGAAATTGAGACTACGTGGGCCACCATAGTCTCCTCTAATAATGGCGAACACAAATACTAATTCCTCCTAAAAATAAGTATCATACATATGATTTTTAAAAATAAAATTAACCATTTAATATGTGGTTAAATCTTAAATCTGTCATTGGTACTTATACCTCTTTTTACGTAAGTATTATTAGAACAGGCAATGATTCAGCATCTTATATTTCTGTTCAAATGTTGACGAGGATGAGCGGAGAGAGGCGTGGGTGTGCGGTTTGGGTCCTCAAGTGCTCGGAGCCCCCTGACCCCCCTGACCCGGGCCCTTACACCCACTCAGAGAACAGCCTCTGCTCCTGCACTTCGCAGCACTTACAGTGGTTTGAGAGAGCAGCTTCACAAACCCAATTCCGATAAAACACATCCATTACTTCCGTTAATTAAAGTCAATTTGTTTTTATTTGATAGAGCCAAAAAAAAATAAAAAAATACCTCACAGAAGTACCATTTTTATATTCAAAGACTTATTTTCTATGAATGTTGGAAGAAGAAGTAAACCAATTATTATAATTCTATTTGTGAATGTCAGAAATAGTCTTTATTGTTGCATGAGGAAGTTGAAAGTTCTCACAGCTGACCCCAGAACGGACTTACAAGGATCCTTATTCCTCTAATGTACCTCTCCAATCCAATCTAATCCACTTTATTTATACAGCACATTTTATAAACATGACAGTTTCCAAAGTGCTACACAGACAAATTAAAACAGTTAAAGAGAGTAAATCCTAAATCAAACAATAAATAAAAAATAGTAAATAAAAACTGTTAAAACTATAAAATCAATAAAAATCAAATAAAACTCTCACTAATTAACAATGATTATGTATCGCAACCAATTCCCCAGTTCCAAAAGTTGGTAAGTGTTTATTTATTTATTTATTTTCTGTTGCAAACAAAATGCCAAAAAAATCATTGCGCTAAACATCCCAAGACACAAACACAGAATCCCCAGTTGTATTGAGTAAGATGAGGAGCACATGACTTTAATTGGGTGTGGTGTGTGACCTCTTATCAGACAAAAGCGTACCACAGCGAGAGCCTGTTGGCGAGAAAACTGCCCCCAGCCCTCCTCCTCCCCCGGTCCTGTCCTGTGCTGTCCTGTGTATGGGCAGTCATGAGGTCTCCATTTGGTTCGCCACGCTGTGTCTCGTGGTTCAAAAAGCCATAAAAAGTTTGAGCTAAAAATCCCCCTTTAAAACACACA